AAAATTAAATAGGAAAATTAAAAAAAAAATAAGTAGAAACAAAACAAACAAAAAAATTAAAATATGAAAAACAATAACAATTGTATTTTTTATAGCAATGAAACTATTATATATAGAAAAATTTAAATCAAAAAAAAAATTAAAATACAAAATTAACAAAAAATTAACAAGCAAGGAATGCAACTCAAAAGAAAAACAAAAGGTAAAAAAATAAAAGATAAAATAATTATAAAAAATAATAACTAAAATCAAAAATAAAAGAAATATTTAAAAATTTATTACATAAATCGAAATGTAAATTACAAAATAAAAATAAAAAAAGTGAAAAAAATAAGTTTTTTTAATTAAGCATATAAAAAATATAAAATGTAAAATCCATGTATAGGGTTAAACATTTGGAGGATTCAAAGTACACTGCTGTTTTTTAACGTTTATCAAACTTAACCGGTAAACCAAGCCGATTTTGTCTTAGCTTAAAATCAGGCATTTATGGCACTAAATCACTCAGAAACCGCACAACGCGTTAAAATTGTTAAAACCAATAAAACTAAATGGTTATTCAAAAGTGGTCCGTGTTTTTAGCGGAGAGATTACAGTGCGCATAATCTTTCAACTACCTATGCAATTGGTAAAATTTTAGCGAAATTCAAAGAGGCTGAATCGGTTACAGATATTTTAGAGTCTTTGTAGCATCATTTTGTCATCATCGTCACTGTAAGTGAAGGAGCTGGGAGCTTCCTACAACATATTATCACCTATATCCATCTAAGGCCTAGCTCATAACTTAAACCAGCTGACCACAACACCGTGCATACTTCGATTGGGTGTTTGAACAACAAAGTGTCACTGTCAATTCGGAATGTTAAGGAAATATGATAATCGTTTATGTTTATGGGGATAAACCTTCAACTCTTGAGTAGTTGAAAATCAACATCCTAATCAAAGCTTAGTTATCGCCCAATACTCGCAATGGTCGAAAATAACCTTAAACGGATCGAAGCTTACAAAAAACTGCTAAGTGGCCAATTGAATGTTGGAGTGTTTCAAATATAATATAGTGCCAAGGTTCAGATCTAATTTATTGCGTTCTCAAGCGATTATTCCACCTGCAAATTGTGGCCAATATTAAAACCTATATAAATGGTAAGCTTTCATTTCTGGTAACAATGATGAGTGCATAAGTGCGTGCCCGATTCCGCTGGATGCCGTTCGAATCGTATAAGAGTGGCGCTCGGGAAGAAATATATACATATTATATATCGTTGGACTGGTGATTAAAAATGGATCCTGTACAACAATGTTCAACGCAAAAGTACATGGAACCAGGCACACGAAGGGGCGGAACCGATGTCGAAAGGTGGATTGCATCCGATGAAGGTACTGCTGTGCATTTGGTGGGATATCCAAGGCGTGATCTATTTTGAGCTCTTGCCAGCTGGAGAAACGATCACTGCCAACAAGTATTGTCAGCAATTGGTCGAATTGAAGAAAGCAATTGATGAAAAACGTCCGATTTTGGCCAATCGCAAAGGAGTTCTTTTCCATCATGACAACGCCAGGCCAACCGACCCCGGCCAAACTGAAGGAGATGAATTGGGAAATCATGCCGCATCCCCCATATTCACCGACATTGCACCTTTTGATTATCATTTGTTTCGATCGCTGCAGAACAATTTGAATGGAAAAAAATTTAAAAATGTGGAAGACGTCAAAAACTACCTTGACATCTTTTTCAACGAGAAACCGCGCGATTTCTATGAATAAGGCATCCGTAAATTGGTTGAACGTTGGGAGAGGATTGCCGAACATGATGGCGAATACATAATTGATTAATAAAAGCGCTTTCTTTAAAAAATTTTAATTTTAGTTTGCACTTGAAATCGGGCACGAACTTATGCACTCATCAATATTTATCGGATTCTGTTTTAGACAAAAATATGGGCTCTTACCTCTTCCAAAATGTCCGCACTTATATTAAATAATCAGAATTTGCCGACACTTTCTGTATTAATAGGCCGCGGTAGCCAAGTGGTAAGCATTGGGTATTGACATTCGGAAGGCTCGGGCTCATCTTCCTGTGCCACCAACATCCAAAAGTTATAGAATAATAAGTTAAATAAAAAAATAAGTTAAATTTTCTCATAGCGGTCGCCCCTTGATAGGGGATATCCACACCTCCGAGTGTATTTCGGACATGAAATAAAAGCTCCACGTAAAAAAAAACCATCAGCCGTTCGTGGGCGGCTTGGTATAAACTGTAAATCCATCCATTTGTTGGAAAAAGATCAAGACGAAAAACCACAAATTGGAGGAGAAGCTCGGCCGAAAAATCGCGGTTACAAAGCGCCAATTATGTAAAAGGAAGAAATCTCCAGCTGAAGCTTATCAAATGCTTGTGGCATATCATGAGAAATCTGCTTAGAACGACAGTACATGCAGGCAATGGTTTCGACGCTTCGAAAATGGTGATTTGAGCATTGAAAGGTGCCCAGTGTGCTGTTATGGTCAAACTTTACTTGAAAACGCTGAAATGCGAGCTCTTATCGCATCCTACACTATTCCCCACACCCTGCTCCTTCCGACTACTGCATCGACCGATGCACAACAATTTAGGGGTCACCTCACCGGTGCAGGTCTTTTGAAAAAATCGTAGAAGGGCTCAAAGATTAGATCGGGTATAGAGTGGACTCATTTTTAAATGTGGAATTTGAAAATTAGCAGAGAGAGGGTGAAAAGTTATCGCTTTCGATGGACAATACTTTGAATGGTGTTTTCATTTTTTGCCTTTTTTCGATAAAAAAAACATTTTTTGAACAGAAAAACGAAACGAACTAATTTGTGTTCGTAAAAAAATTAAATTTCAAAAAAAATTAGAATATTCACAATATAACTGGAAGAATTAGTCAAATTAAAGCTTAGAGGAAAATTAAAAATGAGTATCAAAAATTATTAATAATAAAAAACACATTCAAACAGCTCACTTCATGTTAATTCATTAACATGCAAAGGTAGACAACGTGAAGCAAAAAAAAAAAAGAAATGCAAAAAGTCTTGCCTACAACTAGGCGCTCACAAAAAAGGTTTAAGCCCTCTCACTGACCATCAATTGTAATTGTAATATTAAAATTCTCGCAAATGACTTTTACAAAACACTCTCTACGCTAAAATTAAATAGAAGCAAATTAATCTAACTGAAATGCATACCGAAATTTGCACACAAATAGGAAAAAACACACACACACACACAATAGTAGGCTCATATGCCTGCAGCGAAAAGTCGAGTGCTCTATGTATTACTATTTGTATTTGCAATTTAAACAATTTTGAGCATCTGTTTCACCACTACATTAGCATTCGGCTTTAACTCGGTTCGAGGTCACAACGCAGCATGCCGCGGACGCGTCGTATAACCAACAAAGTTTTTTTAACCGCAAAATCCATTCATTGGAAGTAATAAATTATTTTAGGCTTTTGTTGGCGCCGCAGCCAAATAAGTGTTTTATGCACTCGCTTTCAGCTAAGTTTTAGTGCAACTAACGGTATTTGTTTGCATTTGTGCTTTAGATGGGTGTAGAAGAGGAACGCTGGGCGGTTACGGTATGAATAAGTAGAGAATTCAATAGAAATATGTATATAAATCAGTATGTGCAGCAGTTCGGATATATAATTGAATTAAGCCGGAATTTATAATATTTCAAAAAGGCGTTTTTCATGTTAAAACTTTAACGAGAAAAACAGGGAAAATCGAGGTTGGAGATAATTTTTTTTAATTTATTTATTTTTTTTTTTAAATCTAGTTACAATTAAAATTTTCGAATTTGAAAAATTGTAATATATAGCATACGTAGACCGATTTTTCTGAAGCGTGTTTTCGGCTCCAATAGTAGTCAAGAATTTTAAATTCCAAAGTATGGACGCATATTCTTATTAGAATATTAAGAGAACAAAAAATATTGACATCAGACGATTATGACATCAAATTCCCTCAGAAACAACTTTTCAAAAAAGTGTTTTGAAATCATAACTCACCAAATAAGTGGTTGGGACTTATAAACTCTGTACTTTGTTTGCATTTTGCAGTTAAAATATCTAATATTATAAATAAAATATATAAATAATTGGCGCTGTGTAACCGCTGAAGCGATTTTTTGGCTTGAATTGAATAAATAAAATGTGTGGCTCCCAAAGAAACAATTTTCAAAAATCAGTTTTTCGCACATAGCTTCTCCAGCTAGATAATTATGGGTTTCAAATTATAGATTTTACACGCATTTCTTCGTTAAAAGATTGATAATTAAAATCTTTGAAATCTGACAGCTGGAACATATAGCTGCCGTACAAAAAAATTTCAAAAATGAGTTTTTGTCGCAAAACTCCTTCAATGCAACAGCCAAAAATTTTAAACTCCGGATTTTGCGTGCATTTTACAAGAGTTATAGTGACAGCAAAAATGATTGGACTCCCGTAATTATAGCATATAGTTGCCATAAAATCGATTTTTCAAAAACGTGTTTTTAGCTCATAACTTCACCAAATATGCAGTTATGAAATCGAAAATTCGTGTTCTATGTGCATATTGTGCATAATATATTGAACACCAAAATCTTAAGAATTCGACAGTTATAGCGTAGGGCTCCCATACAACCGGTTTTTCAAAATGGGGCTTTTGGTCATTTTTGCTTCAAAAAAGCAGCTAAAATTATGAAATTTTCTGTGTGGTTTGCAAATCATCGATGAATATGTTGGTTTTGTTCATAACTGCCTGCAGCAATAAAATAACATTTTAAGAAGAAATTATCGCAAAAAAAAGTTAAATTAATTCATTTTTTTTAAGGATATGCCTTCTGTGGCATAATTAAAGTCTGCTTTGAATCTCACTTTAAGGTTAATTTCACAAAAGTTTGAAAAAAATCACCATTCTCTTAGTGCTTTCAACCAACACATTGGTTTTTAATACATATAAGAATAGTTGAATATAGATATGTATGTGTGTCACTTACCGGTTGCTTGCAACGTCAGCACACCAAAAACTAGTGTTAAAATATCACTGAACACGACCGCTGCTGTTCTGCTTTGAGCTAATTTTAATTTTTCAGTCGCGTTTTCAGTTTTTATTATTTGATGCGTGGTTGTGATACGTGTTGTTTTTGTTGTTTTCTCTCTCGCCCTTAATGCGCTTGTCAACACGCTACTACCGCTCCCACACTTAGATTTGAGTGGCGCGGTGGTGTTAAGCAGGCGGCGCTGTGTGGTCATTTTTGTTGTTGTTGCTGTTGTTGTTCTCGTGTCTGTTATGTCTACTGTTGCCTGTGCAACGATTTTCTGCGTACAAATTTTTGCGGTTACAAGCGCGGCAGGCGACGAGCTGTTTGTTGTTTTAGTCGTGGGATTATTTGTTGTTGTTGTAATTGTATTTATTAAATTAGTGACTGTCAACGGGGTAAATGTGCTTGCTGCAGCACATCCAATTAAATTTCGCCAACTTCGATGTTGCACATTGTTGGCATGTTGTTGCTGTGTTTGTAGTAGGCAGTGTTGTTGTTGTTGTTCTAGTTGGAGATCTTGTTTTAGTTTGTGCTGCTCATGTGTTCTAGCTTGTCCTTCTAACGGCATTTGCTCGCCATCAGTCGGAAGCCGGCACGATAATGCGTTTGCAGTGGCAGGTGTAGGAAGTTGTTGTTGAATGCGTTGCTGTTGCTGTTGTTGCACAGGAGACAACATGTAGTTGCACCTAGTTAGCTTCTGCTTTACTCTGCTCAACGCTGCCCACAGTCGCCGCTTGCCTAACCAACAATCGCGCTTCACGAGCTTTATCATTAGTCTTGCTATTGTGGTTTTTGTTGGTGGTGGTGAAGCAGGCATCATCTGCGTAGCAACAGCGTTCTTGGTTGTTGCTCGCGCTTCCGTTCGCAGGCAATTGTTATTTCGCGCTTGCAACATGCCGTTGTCAATGTAATCCGCAAGCATTAAGCTTGATGTTGTTCTTGTTGCCTCGTCGAAACAACTACTACCACCGCTTGTAATTTGCCAACGGAGTATGCGTTTTCTTCTTCTTATTTTGCAATACCTAGCGCTTGTTGTACGCATGTTGCAGCTACATTTGTTATTGATGTTGTTGTTGGTGTTCTTCTTTCCAACACTCTTGGTCTTTCTGCGCTTTCTGCGTCGTCTACAAGCATGGAAAAAACACAACTCCCGCGTTAGCACACATTTTACTTGATTACTTGAGCGAACGCCTAAAAGTAGACTAAACTTTTTGCTGAAAAATCGTTTTTCGTAGCTTATGGCACGCGTGTTGTACGTGTGGCAAGCATGTTGATTGCTGTTGTATGTGTTGTTTTCATATTTGGTATTTTCCTTGTTGTTTTCGCAGTTACAAAAAGCGATTTTCATATGCGCAGTGCTCCCACAGGCCTCAACTAGTACTGGTTGCGCCTCTGTTAACATTGTGCAACATAAAAGTTTTTTAGTTACTTTCTTTTTGAACACTTTCTGTATCTGTTTCCCGTTTGCCGCTTTCGACCAACATCAACTTCTTTACTGTTGCAGTTGTTGAGTCTTTAATTGCATTCCCTTATTGACATTTCATTAACAAACACTCAATTGTACTTTCAAACTACTTTTTCGCTTCGACACACCACCGTTTGCACACTAATTTGCAAGTAAGCGCAATAAATATTCAACAGTTCTTAATTTTTCGTTTCCTTTGACATTTTTCATTCAGCTACATGCAGTGGATTTCTGGAAAAGTTCAGTGTTTTTTGCTTACTTTCACATATAATATTTCGGGTCTTTTCGTTTTTGCATCCTAAAAGCAAAAGAAAAAGATAATAATTAACCTTGGTTTTACTCCTCTCCTTTATTTAAATCTGTTTAATTTATCTTATTTTATTTTATTTTATTTTATTTTATTTTATTTTATTTTATTTTATTTTATTTTATTTTATTTTATTTTATTTTATTTTATTTTATTTTATTTTATTTTATTTTATTTTATTTTATTTTATTTTATTTTATTTTATTTTATTTTATTTTTTATTTTATTTTATTTTAATGTGACTTATTATATTGTGTTTTCTTTTTATTTACTCCATTTAATTTTTTTCGAAAATTTAATTTTTTTTATTTTATTATATTTAATTTTTCATATAATTGTGATTTATACAATAAACCAGAAACCAGAAACTGTAATTATGTTGGAAATTTTCTTCTTCGCATATTCTGTTTCATTGCTCTTAAGTTTATTTCTCTACTAATTTGTTCGTACTGAACTTTTTTCATATTTTTTTCTTTTAATTACAACCATATTTATATCTTTTTTTTTCAAATTGTTTTCCAACTTCGAATGCATTCCTTAGCACTCCCCCTTTACATAACTTTGTGCTAACCCTTATTTTTTTGCTTATTTTATTCATTCCTATTTTCTTCACCTTTTTCTTCTCTCCTTATTATTGTTTTATACATTACATGCACTTGACTTCACTTCGTTGCACAGAATATAGTAATTTTATTCCATTCACTTCTAGACTTACTTGCTCATTTTTATGCACTTTAACTATAGTTACGTATACGCCCCCTTACTTGATGTATACTCAGATAGTACATTTTGTTAAATATTATCGTGCTTAGTAAGTGCGGAGTTATTGAGTTTAAGCTGGAAAGTAATTGGTCCCAAGCTTACTATCTTTTCCTTTCTTCTTCCGGTTGTTCCTTAAGTTTGTTTAATATCATTCAGAATATTTTGTATCTATTTTTTTTCTTTTTGTTTTTAAATGTATGTAATATAAAATTAATATAAATAATATTTTAGTTTCCTTTGCAATTATTTTTTCATCTTTCATTTGTTTGGTGACAATATGTGATTAATTATTGGAATTTTTCTTTTTTTGCTTTGACTTCAAATAAGTATATTTATATTCGTATTCTAATCACAAAACCATTTATACAATCTGAAAAAAAAAAGATTTTTATTAAAGCTAGTGTAAATGAGAAGTGATTGCATTAAAAATATAAATGTTGCCTACATTTAGGCTGAAATTAGTAAAATCAGACACCAAGCGATAAACCAGAGTAAACATATTCCTTATAGCTTGCTATGTTGGGGGCGAAAAGCTATCTACATTTAGGGACCATTTAGTAAAGACGCACACCTTATCAATACAAAAATTCCATTCCCAAAAAAATTCTTGAAACCGAGCTAAAAGAAGCAAGAAAGCTAAAAAAAAATTCTAAATTATGTCTGAAAAAGCTTTCTAAGCCAACTGTGCCCTTATTTAAGCCCGGTTTTAGCGTAAAGCATTGAACAAAATTCATTTACATCCTTTATATTCAGTAACTGTTAATTTTCCATTATTTAATTCACTACTAAATTTTATCCACTCAATTTATGTGTGTGTCCTAACACTTTTCCGACTTTAAGACACCACCTTAAACTAGTTTTCAAATTTTATTGCCGTCAACCCTTCTATTCTCGTGCACCGAAAATCTTTTCCTTTTAATATTTAGTGAGTTTGTAAAACTTTTTGAGCATTTCATCGTTTCCCATTTCAATTGCATATCCGTTTGGCCAAAAATTACTTTTCATAGACGAGAAAGTTTTTTGTAAAAATCACAAAATTGCTTAGTTGCAAGTATAAATGGCGCATAATTCAAATTACTTCCTGCTTGTTGTCAAGTCAAAAAGTTGCAATAGACATACATAACGATTGACGGTGTGTAAAACGATTTAGACAAGCGTTAGAGGAAGAGCTGTTGCAACCCAGTGGGGGAAAATATGGGCTAGTGTAACAAGCTCCTCTATGAGGAAAAATATGAATTAGTAAAACGTATTCAGCTAAGGGGAAAAATATGAATGAGTAAAACGTATTCATCTATGGTTAAAATATGATTCACTAAAACGGATTCCTGCATGGGAAATATATAAACTAGTGAAACGAATTTCCCTAAGGGAAAAATATGAACAAGTGAAACGTATTCCTCTATCTGCAAAATATGATATATTAAAACGGATTTCGCTGTGAGAAAAAATATCAACTAGTGAAACCTATTCCTCTATGAGGAAAGTATTGTATGTCCCCTTGGGTGTCTTATTTTTCAAAACCACCCGTCTTTTCATCTAGAATAAGTCATGACTTCAATGGCCCATCACTTAAATGCAACTGGTCGTTATATAACCAGTTATCAACACCACTGGTACGTAAATAAATTTCGTTTTTAGCTGTTCAACATTTTCTAGCGTCATTTATAGCCATCATGAGCAATTTTCACGAACAGAAGTTTTTTTGTTGTTGGCCTTACATTTTCGTAGCAACTATGTCTATATTTGTGCAGCTTTGCATTTTTTGATTATAAAAATTTCCATTTCCGGCCAAGTCATGAAAGTAAATAAAGCCGGCAACAACTTAAGAGCAGTAAATACCAAGAAAAATTAGAACAAAATAAACTAAATCGAAAACAAAAATAAAAGAAAGTATAAATAAAATGAAAAATAAAAAATCTAAAACTCGAAACTTTCCACGCGCAGTTGCCTTGCCAAAATTTCCATTATTTATGAAATGCATTTTCACTTTAAAGCCTGTCTAAGCACTAAGTTTTCCACCAAGTCAAAAGATTCATTAGGAGTTTTCTAATATTTGACATCGTTGCATTTGGTTGCTTTGCCTCCAAATTCATTATCTTCATCGTTATTGCCTTCGTCATCATACGCATTACTTTGGCCATTAGCCGCATTCAAAGAGACTCACTCACTAATGGCATTTCGTGCTGCAGACTTTTATTTGGCAACATAATTTATTGCCTCTTCTTCATCTTCATCTCCTGCTTTTTGTTATACTTCTTCTTGCTTCTTGCAGTTATCATCATTGTGGTAGTCTTTCATCATCATTCAGCCTCAGCATCATCATCATCATCATCAACATCAACATCAATTTAATAAGCCATTCATGCCAAACAATTTACTTTCACTGCAATACTCTGAGCTCCACGGCATTTTGCATTTTGACTATGCACTTCCGCACCTCCTCCCAGCCCACCCCCATTCCGCACTCACTGTTGCCCTAGTCGGTATGTCATTGGCTACGTGAACCAGTCAGTGTTGGTCAACTTGTTCGGGATTGTACCGATTTTCGGTACAACGGCTTTGGAAGGTTTTTTGATGGGAAATAATATACGGTATTTTTTTGGACAAAGCAAAGTTCCTCTTCGAAGAAGCTAAAAAGATATAATGATAATAATAATAATAATAATAATAATAAATAATTCGGATAGGAATCAAAACAAGCAAGACAAGAGCGAGGTAAATAAAAAAGTGGAAGCAAGGAAATGGATATCCAATGGAACTGAAATTGTGAAGGAACGTGAAAGAGAAAATGAAGAGGAGTCACAAAAGGAAGATATGTTGCAGAAAAAGGGAATGGGAAAAGGAAAAGCAAAAAATCAAAAAACAACTCAACAAATAGCAAAGGGAACAGAAACAGGAAAAGAAATAAGGAAATGTATAAGGAAACCGAGAAAAAAGATTATGAAGAGCAAAATTTAAATAAATCAAAAAATGATGAAAGATAAAAGATGAAAAATATGAAAGAAATTGATGAAGAAGAATAAATGCAAGAAATTAAAAAATGCAAGTAGGCAATATGAAATTAGAAACAAGAAAAAAAGAATATAAATGAAAAGAGGAAATAGGATATAAATATGAGAAAAGCGAAACTAAAAAATTAGTAATAGGGAAAATGAATAAAGAAAGACAATAAAAAGAATTAGGAAAACCTGAAAAAAAATTCCAATAACTTAAAAAATAAAGAGTATTGCGTAAAATAGATTAAAAAGATGGAAGAAATGAAGAAAATAAAAAAGATAGTAAGTAAAATAATAAGAGCAAACATGAAGAAAAAAAAGAGGAGGACAAATAAGCTAAGTACTAATTGAAAATGACTAGGAGATTTGAGAGAAAATGGAAAATAAAATGAAAAAAAGAAAATTTAGAAGCAATCACAAAAGAATAAATTAAAATTAAAATAATAATGAAAGGAAAAGATAAAGAATGCGGATGTGATGAAAAGAAAAAGAAAGAAGAAGTGAGAACAACAAAATTTTAAGTAAGAGATAAAGAAAAAGTAGAAAAATACAATGAAAATAAAATTACAGTTAGGATAAAATAAAAAGAGAGAGAAAGAGAATGATAAAAGAGAAAGAGAAAAAGAAAGACAAGAGAAAGAGATAGAGATAGAGATAGAGAGAGAAAAAAATGCAAAGAGAAAAGCCAAGAGAATGAGAGAGAGAAAGAGATAGTGAAAGAGAAAGAGAAAGAGAAAGAGAAAGAGAAAGAGAAAGAGAAAGAGAAAGAGAAAGAGAAAGAGAAAGAGAAAGAGAAAGAGAAAGAGAAAGAGAAAAAGAAAGACAAGAGAAAGAGATAGAGATAGAGATAGAGAGAGAAAGAAAGAGAAAGAGAAAGAGAAAGAGAAAGAGAAAGAGAAAGAGAAAGAGAAAGAGAAAGAGAAAGAGAAAGAGAAAGATAAAGAGAAAGAGAAAAAGAGAGTGAAAAGAAAAAGAAAGAGGAAAATAAATAAAGAGATAAACTTAAAGGAAGAGTCAAAATAAATAAGTCAAATAATTATTAAAAAAAGACGCAAAATACAAAACAAAATGAAAGAAACGAAGAAATTTAAAGCTGAGAAGAACAGGAAAACATTTAAAAAGGTAGGAAATGATACAAAAAGTGCTATTTTAACAAAATAAAAGAAAAAGAAACCGAAGAATAAAAGAGAATTTAAAAAGTTTCAAAAATAAACGAAGGAGGAGAGTTGGAAA